TGGGCTCGCGGAGGGTCAGGGGGGGACCCCCGGGCCAGGTTGGCGGTTCCGTCGTGACCTTCCCGGCCCGGCCCGGGGATGGGGCCCCGGGCAGCGAGCGGCGCCGCCTCCCGCCCGCTCCTGCGCTGAGGCCGCTCGCGAGGCCCCTTAGGTTTTGCGTTGTCTGACACCAGCCGACACCTGGAGCAGCGGCGGTGACACATCATGTGTCAGGCGGAATCCGAGCGGTTGAAGGATGCCCCTGGGAGACCCCGATAGGCAACGAAGGCCTCAAACTTTTGGGGCCCCGGGCAGCGAGCGGCGCCGCCTCCCGCCCGCTCCTGCGCTGAGGCCGCTCGCGAGGCCCCTTAGGTTTTGCGTTGTCTGACACCAGCCGACACCTGGAGCAGCGGCGGTGACACATCATGTGTCAGGCGGAATCCGAGCGGTTGAAGGATGCCCCTGGGAGACCCCGATAGGCAACGAAGGCCTCAAACTTTTGTAGGCGTGAAAAGCGACGACGTTAGAATTGGTTCCGGAAACTCCTTCAAAGAAACTTGGTTCCAGCTTCCAAACGGCTGAAAAAAAATATATCTTCTGCACTGGTACCTGGAAGGTGAGGGCAGCAGGGCGGAAACGTCCCCTGCGATTCCCAGTTGGGAGTTGGTGGCCATGACCTGCTAGTAATGGAAAGTCATGAGAGAGACTTGGCTGTTGTCTGTTTTTACGTGGTGGCCTGAAGTCGCAGAGGATGACCTAGCACTTGAGAATCAAACTGGGCCGAGGTAAAGGCCAAGTTGACTTGAAAGAGCCCTAGTGGTGGGACCAGGTCAGAAGTGAAGCAGATCCCAAACTGAGTGTATCTGGTCAAAGATATATTCTTTTTATGAGACTTTGTGTTACTGGAGCCAGGCCTGGATCTTTTAGTATCCAACTGAGCTGGAAGCAGCTCATAGTTTTCTTTTGTTTTGTTTTTTATTCATGTTTGTACAATCTTCTGGATATTATTTTTCAAGAAGGAGTAAAAGGGAGTGTTGGAAACTAACAAACAGGATTAAAGCCCTGAGCGCTTAAGGAAAACAGGTTAAGGAACTTAATCCAGGATGGATATGCAGGAGCCGCAGCAGCTGGGTATGTTTGCAGAGAGCGAGCTCATGTCTGTGGGGATGGACACGTTTATCCATCGCATCGACTCCACGGAGGTCATCTATCAGCCCCGGCGGAAAAGGGCCAAGCTCATTGGCAAGTACCTCATGGGAGACTTACTCGGAGAAGGGTCTTATGGCAAAGTCAAGGAGATGCTGGACTCTGAAACCCTCTGTAGGAGAGCTGTCAAAATACTGAAGAAGAAGAAGCTACGCAGGATCCCCAACGGGGAGGCAAATGTGAAAAAGTGAGTAAATGCTCCCAGTGGCTGGGAAGCCAGGGGTTAAATTTAACATTACTTTCTGACTGATGTTCCATATCATTTAAAGTAATGACATAGCTTTGTGTTCTGGAAGTCCTTTCTAAACTATCCGTGCTCAGGAATCCCTCTGCCCCTGGCGCGCAGGGACTCCTGAAGGCTGCGTGGGCAGCTGGTCCTCGAGGACACGGGCACCACATCTGCCCACCCGCACGGCACAGTGTCACACGTGCCCCTTAGGGCCTATATAAAGTGAGAGAGAGTCTAAGATTTTATGTTAAAACACTTCCTAAAACAGAAAGACGAAGGATGCAGTAGCTGAGAGTGCCTAAATCCCCTGCTGTCGCTGCTCTTCGTTGGTGCGTGTCTCTCTTAAGCTCTTTAGGGTGGTAATTCCTACTGCCACCCATGAAATAAGCGCCCAGGACCCGTGGTCCATTGTGCACCCAATGGGCATAGGAAGTCTTGGGTGTTATTCTTGGCCTCACGTCTGACTAATGAGGTTGAGAAGTAATTCAAGGCTCTTTTCAGTTGATTTCTGCAGCTGTAAAATGGGGACAAGGGTTGTCAAGCTCTTCTTTTCAGTGACTCAAGATTTGTGCTTGGAAGGTACTTCAAGTGCCAGTTACATACTGATTAGTCAGTGCACAAGTAACTAATTAAAACACACTGTGGGGAGAAGCTGGGTGTTACGCTTCGTTTGCGGGAGTCGTTATTATCGGAAACTTTCCCTTTTCTCGGGGTTGCGCCCTGCGTGCGAGGAGCGGGGAGCCAGCTGTGTTTTCCCCAGCAAGATGTTCGTTCCAGCCCTGCGCGATAGAGCTGTTTATCTGGTGCGAAGAGGAGCCTTCTGCAGCCAAAACAAATTGCAGGCAATAGTTTATCTCGTAGCGGGAGGGAAACTCGGAGATGTTTAGAAGACTCTCGCCTTGCGCCCGCCGCTGCGGCGTGCTGAGCGTGGAGGCCTGGCCTGGCAGGGTCTTGTTTCTGTTTCTTGGCTTGCTTTGAGTTTCCGAGCTCAGCTGTGAGATATTTCACATCCTGTCCTGGCCCTTCTGCGAGCCGCCTGTTTAGGTTTCCCTCCTAACCTTCACGCACAGCCTCAGCTGCAGAATAGCAACAGGTCTGCGCGCAGGAGTCTCGCTTCTCCGCTTCCCTGGCTCCAGTTCAGAACAAGAGCAAACTGCTGGTTAATGTGTAATAAAATGTTTCTTGTTCCTCTAGTCGAGGCAGGAGTGCCCCTTTCCATCGCTCTCCGCCCCGCTACATCCAGCACTTTGCCAAACAAGGGGAGGGCTGTTTCCACCGTGCTGGAATTCTACATTTCAAAATAACCTGGTGGTTTCCTGGTATCAAAACCCTGGTAATGGTCCTGTGCCCTGAGGTGAACCCTAGAATTCTTACTCATGTACGCAGCCTTCCTGTGAATGCCTCTGGTTTCGCTGACGTTAGTTACTAAAGCGGAGTAACGCAGCAGCACCTGGTCCTCTTATGGACATTCTCCTGAGTCAGCAGCACCTGCTTCAAAGCCCCGCGTGTGGTGGGCTTGAGACCAGCCCTTCTAACAAGGCTTTGCTTTAATCGAAGCTCCTGTTCTTGTCCCCTTGTCCCTTGTTGTCTGCATGCTTGTCTGCTTTATCTACCTGCTCAGTGGTGGAGTTATTTGGCGAAATGTCCTGTATTTGGTACCCAGGCACCAGGGAACCGACCCAGGCCGAACCCTTTGGTATGTGATGAAGGTTGTCTGTGCTGTAAGTGAACGTGCTGTAGCAGGGTGTCTAATGAAACCTGTGCAGTTTGAGCAGCGCAGGGGAGAGGAAAGCGGGACACAGACCATCCCATGGGCAGGGTTCCCTTCGGTGGGACCGTTCCCTCCCTGCTCTCACTGCTGCCACTCGACCTCCCCTAGTCCATGAGCTGGAGAACAGTCGGCCACAGACCCTGAACTCCCTCCTTACCCTGAACAATATAAATATTTTTTCAATTGTGACTAGTTGTCTCAACTTTGTAAACATCCCAGGTTAATTTGTGTCCTTTATAACTAAAATCTCTTCTTCCCTGCTTAGCTGTCCCTCTTGCAGGGACTCCAGGGCTATGTGCAAGCAGAAGTCTGCTCCAAAGCAGGGGCAGAGAGCTGTCCCCTCGCTGGAACCGCGGGTAGGCAGCGCTCGCGGCAGCCCCGGCGGGTCTCTGCTGTGCAGGAGGTCTCTGCACGCTGCCCTTGTGCTTGATCCTGCGGTGCTTTCACACCAAGTGCCACAAATGCGCCCAAAAACTGAGCTGATCACACTGCTTGTGTCTCCACTTTCCTTGGTTCAAGTGTCCCTGCCTCGTGGAGGTGACCCATTTGTGTTTCGGTCTCAAACACCTTGTTGTGTGGTTATTTTGACTGAAAAGACACTGCCTCTGTGCACTAAAGCCTGGTCTCTGCTCTCGACTTCTTTTATCTGAAGCTTTTTCCTGCGTTGCAACTTGATTTGACAGAGATATGATCAAATTATTTAAAAGTAGGTTTGTGCCTTTGCTGTTATCACCGGATGCTTCAGTGCTGCTGCTGTTGTGGTGAAAGCGAAGCTGCTTTTGAAAGTGCAAAACCAAAGAAACTGCCTAGAAAACAGTTCTCATCCCTGTGATCCCTGGGGAATTACTTAGATGAGTGATACACGGGGAGCAATGACAAAAAGGGAAGGCAAAATGAAATGAGCTCTGGAGGACTTTGCAGGTCTTTGCCATGTGCTGGGGCCCTCGGGCAGGGCTCATCCTGCAGCTCTGATTGCTCACGCGGTTCTGGTGGCTTCTCACTAATCTTCAAAACTGCAGCCCCATCCTGGACGCGCATGCGGTTTCCTCAGGCCCTAGAAATTACCCTAGTGCTCCAGTTCTGCTCCTGGAGAATGGACTCTTAAGGGTAAGAGCTCTGTAAGACCCAGTAGAGGTGCCAAGTTTTTGAACTCTTCTGTGCAAGACGTGTTTCCCTGAATAAATATAGGGAATCTCCGTGTGTCTGCAGCTCCTGTCGAGGTGGGCAAGAGAGCGACTGGCTACTGCTTCCAGCTAATGCAAGAAGTGAGTTTAGCAGGATTGCCAAAAAGATGAAAGAAAATTTGGAAGATATTTGTCTCTAGCAGCGCAGTTTTATTAAAAGTGAGTGCTAATAGCCTCCCATTTTTAATTAAGTGTTTGGATCTTTGTGTGGTATCCCAGGTGTCCTGTGCGGTACTTACCATGCTCGGTGATTACTTAGATTGGAAGATCGCGCTCATTAGAATTCCTCGGGGGTTGGAAATGGGTAGAAGGGCTGGAATTTGGCAGTTTGCTACTTGGCCTACAAACGGAGTCTTGCAAACCAGAGCCCTGCTGGAGGAGAGGCTCGGGAGCCCCGCGCGCGCTCGCGTTTTGGGTGAAGGTGCCGCAAAGTTGGCTCCTGTCCCCCGCTCCCGACGCGGCGCCCTGCGGTTTGTCCCCGGCGCGAGCGGCTGCTTCCTCGCTCACGTTCAGCACCGAGATGCCACAAACGGGTCTGTGCAGGAGCTCGGAAGTGGAACCACGGCGGGGACAGGGCTGACAACCGAACTAGGAGCACACGGGAAGGCAGGAACGAGAAAGGCAGGAAGCAGGAAAGCTCCTTGCCCTTGTGCACCAGGGAGGTTGCGGAGCGAAGGCCGCGGCTGCTGCTCCCCCACCCAGGGTTGCTATTTCGGACAATATTTTGCAGGCGCGTGGCAAGGAAAGCGGCCAGTCGAGGTAGATCTTGTTGTTATTTTCTCTTTAAGTAAATTTAAACACCTGCTGACAAAGATGTGCCCCTCTGTTCATTTATAAGGTGAAGTTTGGAAGCTGAAATGGAGTTGGAGGTGGCTGTGGTCTGGCTGTCTTCATTCCTTAGTCATTTTAGAATGCAAGAGTAGCTAAAAATAGGAATAATCTTTCCCCTGGGAAATGGGCTGTTGGCCCCTGCCCCGGAGGTGGTGCCTACAGGGACATTGGAGATTGGTGCTTCCCCACGTCCTTTTGAGTAAAAATCATTACAGACATGTGAAATATTTATTAGCCTGATAAAGGTGAAAGGAATTAAATATTTGGGCTCTGAGGCGCTCTTAAAAAGGAATGAGCTGTTGGGATCAGGTTTTTAAAATGTGTTCCTAATCTTGGCAGCTGGATTTGCCTTCACACCAAAACAGTCTTTTAAATAAACGTGTGTCCAGCGCCTCTCTCGCTGGTTCTTTCCAATCACTCAAGCTGTCTCCCTTTGTTATGCAGAAACTTCTTAGACCTGCTCTAACACGGGCTGCAGATTCTATGCTAATTTAATCCACTTCAGCCTTGTGGTCATTACTATAATTAGAGCTGCTGCATCACTTTGCAAATCTGTCTGCCATTTAAACTAACCACTCTTCGGAGCTTTGCCTTGTTCTCCTAGGTTTCTATTTAGCTATTTTGTTTTTAGGCCATATAGCAATAAAGGAAGAGTACCTGGACTAAAGTTTGGACGCAAAATAATTAATAGTGCTGCTCAGGAAAGGAAAGCTTAGCAAACCTGTAACTGCTCCTTGAAAATGCTCCTAAGATGCAGGATGCAAAAAGTTTCTCTTACCGGCTGTGATGCTTCCACAAACCTTTGTGCTGGCCACAGCTCGTTAGCAGAGACCTGCTAATTGTGAAGGAGAGGGGAAAGTGGCTTTGTAAGCTCCGTGGCATGTGTTTGAGCAGCAGCTTATGCTTCGGAAGCTGTGCTTTTAATTCCTTGTAATTCTGAGTCCGGGACCCCTAACTGTTGAGATTTAACCGTGCTTTTTAAAGCAACTTACCAGATGGCAGGAGAAGCTACAGGAAGAGTTCGTATGGAGCTTAACGGGAGCCCAGAGGGAGTAGGAAGGAACAGGGCAAAGGAAGGTATCCAAATGTTAACAGAACCTCCCCAACCCGACCGTCCTGATCGTCCTGTTTCTCCGCTTTACCACGGGCACCCAGGAGGATTCTGCAGGCTAAGTTTAATGCAAAAGATGCTAAGACGTGGTAGTTTGAGGGAAAGTACAAAATCCCAAGAGGGAAAAACTGAAAAGACTGGGGAGGTGACGCAGCAAGGCTGCCTTCTGTAGTGAAGGCAGGGGAAGTGTCTTCTCACGCGTTTTATTTCCTTTTCCACGAACAGGCGGTGCAATTCGGGTCTCAGTACTTAAGGTAAGGTTAAAGTTTGGCACAAGCGGGGTGAGCTGGGGCTCCCTTCGCTGGCACGGTGTGTGAGGGGAGAGCAGGGGACGTCGGTGGCGGTGCCAGGACGCCCTGGGCCGGTGCTGGTGCCGCCCCTGCTCTCCTTCCCGGTGCTCCCGTCCTTCAGGAGCAAACCAAAGGAACGGGCCTTGCAGAATCCCGGAACGGCTGAGCTGGGAAGGGACCTCTGGAGATCATCTAGTCCCGTGCCCTGCTCCAGCAGGGACACCTGCAGCGTGTGGCACAGGGTCTCCCTTTGCTCCGTGGTTTCCCTGCTTAGGCTTTGCGTGCTCCGTGCTCGTGCAGCAGTTGCTTTCAGGTGAGATCGCGGAGGAGGGAGGTCTGACTCCAAGCAGCCTGTTCTGGATGATTTAGGCTGAAATTAGGAATTGCTCTCACATCTTGAGACGACACTAGTTTGTCTTGCGCCTGGTTCATAAACTCATGAGAACTTCCAGATCAGTTTGGATCCAGCTCCAGCACTAATAAAGATCCCGAAAGCTGCCTAAATATTGGCCGCTGCCCAGGAGCGACTGTCCTTGTCCCTGCGAGTGTCTCCCGGAGCTCCCCCGGCTCTGACGCGTGCGGGATGCGTCTCCCGTTCCCGGGAAGACGTCGGAGCAGAGCTCTGCTGTGACATATACATATACATATATATATATATATATACACACACACATATATATATATACACGTATTGCGTATATGCAGCCCTGCAACATCTCAGCCCTGCTCTGGCCGCTACCTGCACCCAAATGGGTGGCTGCACCCAGGTGAGTTGTCCGGCTCCTGCTTCCCGCAGAGCTGGAGCCCTCGTGCAGGGAGGAGCGAGCGGTTCTGCGGGATTAGCCGGGAAGGGAGCGCTCCCTTCTCCAAGGCGCCACCAGGAAGGATTTTTCAGGTCTAATCTTGGGCTAGGGAACTCAAAAATCATCCCAAGGCCTTTGGTCAGACTGAATTTTAGTTAACATTAGGTGGAGCAGCTGGGACTAGTGCCGTCTGAAATACCTTTAGAATCCAAATGAATTTAGAAGAAACATTATTTTTATTCCGTACAAAATAGATGTTTTAAATGTAAATCTCTCCCTTTCTTTTCCTGCAGGGAAATTCAGCTCCTGCGACGATTACGGCACAAAAATGTCATCCAGTTGGTAGATGTATTATATAATGAAGAAAAGCAGAAAATATATCCTTTATTTTCACCCAGTTGTCACTACAGAGGTTTGAGTTCTTGCTTTCTCCTGTGGTACTGAATCACGGGAGTGCTTTTGTTGTCACTAAGGCCCTTTTGAATGTTTGAATGACATTGCCCAGAGCTTTATGTGGCTCAACCTGCAAGGGAAGTGAAGAAGTGAAGAGCTGGATGGCTTCTAGTGTCTGCCATGCTCAAAGAAAATGCAATTTGACTTGAAGCAGACTGCAAACTTCCCCAGTTGATCTGCTGTTACTGTACACGTTAAGTGGTTGCTTTTATTTTTGACAATGGCTTCTGTGTATAGTGTTGTACTCGCAGTGCTCTAGAAATGGGTAGCTTCATTGTGTGCTTTAATTAGATTAAATACTCTGCCACAAAATAATTAGTATTAAAAAAGCATCACAGCTTTCACTTATATTGTAGCCTTAGCAGACCAAAAGGACCGTAATTCAATTATGGTTTGTAGAAAGATGCTTTTTAATTAGTGAAAAAACTGGGATGCTAAATGAGAAGCGAAGGGGGGAAAAAGAGCCCGAGAGAGACCTCGTGTGTTGGTAACAGGTGATGACAACATGAAATGGTCATGCAGGAATTGACTCCTGTGAGCAAGGAAGGAAATGCCTTGTTTTACTATTCTGAACAGGAGTGTTTGGAAAAGGAATATTTTTATCAGTACTTCCTGCTTGAGATAAGTTAACTTTGCTACTTTTGTCATCCTCTGCTTCCACACTCTGAGAAGGCTCAGGTTCATTCCCCTACCTGTTTACTCTGCTCACAGGAGCAGCAGTTACTGGAGAAACCTGCTCTCACTGGGGCACAGAATGCATCTGTGGTCATGATCTCACTTCACTTCGCTGCAGCTCCTCGCTGGCGCCGCTTGGCCTGCACGTTGTGTTCCGGTGGTCCAAGCCCTTGTGCAGCTGCGTTGGTAACAGGGCTGGGGGATCTGCCTGAAAAGCCACTTTCCTTTTCGTGTTGGCTTTGCTGTTAGGTCAGTTCCCATTTCCATTTCACTCTGTGCGGGAAGCAAGGCCAGATGGAAGCTGAGTGGCTGCAGTGGAGGGGAGCCACGTCCCAGCTGGTGCCCTCTCTTGCCAGCGTCTGTTCCCAGCGTGTACGACCGTTTGGGGAGCCAAACCCTATTGATCAGGGGAATGGTGGGGGTCAGCGTTCTGGGGTCTTTTCTGGTAGATCTGCCTGGTAAAACCTCCCAGCCTCTAATCTTGCTAATCAAACAGAGATTGATCAGCCACGAAAGAGGTAGAAAAACCTGGCAGCTAATGAAGCCAAATTCAGTTGTCGCTTGTAGAAAATGAGCTGATTTTTGCTCATTTTAACTGACTGTTAGTGTCAGCCTTTTAAAGGTGGTGCTAGTAGAGCTGCTGACTTCCATGTCACAGTTGGTGCCAGTAGTTCAAGCTCTCAGACGGGATTTCTGTGGTCACATTCTGCTTCAGGGCTGACAACTGAGTTCCTGCAGGTCATCAAGCAGGAAAACTGTGTTTTTGGGGGGGTTCTTTTCCCCCTTCTTCCTCTTCTCTGGAGGCAGGACAGCTCAGGCTCTGCTCCTTGGGGATGTGTGTGCGGCGCAGAGCTGACACAGGGCTGCAGGCTGCACGGAGAGCATCTACCCTCGGAGCTTCCTTAACTCTGCCTTCACGTATATGGTGATGGAGTACTGCGTGTGTGGCATGCAGGAAATGCTGGACAGTGTCCCAGAAAAGAGGTTTCCAGTTTTTCAGGCTCACGGGTAAGTACAGGTTTCTTTCTTAAACTATCTCGGTCTCTCACCACTGCTGCCTCTACTGGGGGCACTCTGGGCCACTGCAAGTGCATCTTTTACTAGTTTAGTATTGCCCGGACATTGCAGTCTGCATGAGCTCAGACCTGTACCAGCTTTGTGCTTACAATATATGCAGATTTGCAGAGTGCTTTGGTGTAGAAGAGCCTAGAGTTAACCCACTGGTGCAGAGCTCTAGCAGGTACCTTCTGAGTACCTTGCCAGAGGCTTATGACTCCCACTTTCTACATGCACAGCACAGTTCAGTCTCAGATTCCTCAGCCCTGAAGGTTAATGCATTTCCAAGCTGTGTGCAATAGCAGTGCTCTTATGCATTATCCATCACTCATTGAGAATCTTAGTTTCTGGAAGTGCTTGATTTCTTTTTCTTTGCAGGTACTTTTGTCAGCTTATAGATGGCTTAGAATATTTGCACAGCCAAGGGATTGTCCACAAGGATATAAAACCGGGGAACCTCCTGCTAACAACCAATGGGACACTAAAAATATCCGATTTAGGCGTAGCAGAGGTATGTGGAAAAAGCAGCAAATCAAGGTGGGAAGTATGAGATTCCAGAATTAGGTCACCTTTGTGGTGGTGATTGATCTACAGTGTGTTTATACTGAGCTTTGTTGTTGGTTAAACTCACTGTGACTCCAGAATGACTTTGCAAATTGCTACAATGAATATTCAGCAAAATATTTTTATCTTATTGTTGAAAACAGCACAAAACTTCCCCCAGGGAACGAGTATAGAGGAAGATACCCATCTTGGAGACCTCAAGACCCAAAACTGCAGTGAAATTATGCTTAACTACATAGTGCTCATGCAATGAGAATTATAAGGCTCCCTTAGCGAGGAGCAGTGCAGGAAGTGGCACTGATGGACTGCAGTCGTTACAGGGTTATATTCTCTTGCTTTATAAGTGTCAAGGTGTTTTATGAGATGTTCGGAGCAGACTTTTCCCCCTTTGGTTCCTCAGGTGAATCCTTTCTAACAGGTATCGTTTGCGTGCCTCGAGTTTGAGCGTAACCAGTCTCTTCCGTGCAGGCCTTGCATCCGTTTGCAGAGGACGACACGTGCAGAACGAGCCAAGGGTCGCCAGCATTCCAGCCACCAGAAATTGCCAATGGCCTTGATACCTTTTCAGGCTTTAAAGTAGACATCTGGTCGGCGGGGGTCACGCTGTAAGTGTCCGTGCGGCGCCTGGGCATCACAGTAAGAAATTATAAGCCCACAAACAGCAGAGAGTTTGAACTATCTGGGGTGTGTGTCTGTGTATGAGTGTCTGACTCTGGTCTGCTGTGTCCTCCCTCCTGCCCTTCCTCATGGGTGGATATTCCTCCAAGTGGGTGCTTGAAATTCCAAAGAAAGTCCTGGCTGCCTGTGAATAAGTCTGGCTGCGTGTCAGTGCCTGGGATACAAGCCCTCTTGCCACTGTTGCAGTAGCCAAGCATCTTGGTGTTTGTTTTTGAAAGACTCTTCTGTCCCAGCCGGTCAGGGAGAGGCCTCGGTAGCTCTGCCACAGGTGACTGAAGAGGCTGAGAAAGGAAGACTGAGATAAGAGGTGCTCTAGATGCTCTCAAATTCTCATCTTGGAGTTTCCTCTTGGTTTCCTGTGGTTTACCTCATCGCCTTAAGAGCTGAGCACCTGTGTTGCTGCCTTTTCCTCATACAACTTCTCCTTCTGCCTTTACAGATACAACATTACAACGGGTCTTTACCCCTTTGAAGGGGATAATATCTACAAGTTATTTGAAAACATCGGGAAAGGTGACTACACAATTCCAGAGGATTGTGGTCCTCCACTCTCAGACTTGCTGAGAGGTGAGTCTTCCAACTGACTTTAAAATAGGGTAAAATCTATAGATGCAGCAACTGCTCAGTTGTATGGCACTAGGGAAGGCCTCCCTTCCAAGAACGAATGGGATCCTGTTAAAGGGAGGGAGGTTTATGAAGTTTGTGATGAGACTTTGAAGGGTCTCTAGTGTTTGGTTTCCTGAGATATACAAAGCACTTGATGGGTTGCAGTAGCTGCTCTTTATAGAATCATGTTTCTTCTCTGAAGTTTTTAAACCTGAGGCAAAACTCGGAGAGGTTAAACTTAAAACAATATCATGGCATTGATGCGAGTCATGCAAGTGAGAGCACTCAGGATTAAAGTCAGGTCTTTACCCAAGCCGTCTGCAGTGTGAATTGCTGAGTGCCCAGGTCCTGCTGTCATTCCTCCTTGGCCTCTGGCGTGAATTTATTTGCCTCAGTCTGCCCCTTTCCCACCCCCCAACCCATAGTTTGTTGCAAGGAGAATTTGAGGCAGCAGGTTGGTGCCAGAAACAGGAATAGCTGGGCGGGAGGGGAGGTTTTGTTGTTTGCTCCCTTGGGTGGGGTTCTCGTCTTTCTGTTTCAGCACTTGTTGCCATAGTTGTGGTTTGGGCTTGACACACACGGTCTCTGCTGTGGGTCTGAAATGCAGTAGTTGTTCAGCAGCTGCCTTGCTGGTGCTGCAGGGCTGCAGACCCCGCCTCGCCTCTGTCCTCAGCTCTTTGAGGAAGATCACGGGCTCCAAGCGCAAAATGAGGCTCCTGTGGTGTGGCAGGGGCTCCGCAGCGCCGCGGGGAGCGGAGCCGCCG